AAGCATAAATATTATAATGCTAATAATAAAGTGAGATAGGGGAAAAAAAGATATTGGACGTGAATTATATAAATTGCCACCATTCCCTCTATCCTTGCATCTCCACGTACTTCTTTGCTCGTGTCTCTCACGAAGCCTTTCTTCAAGGAATGTGGTGTTTGACGCGCGTGAGAAATTAGGCTTTTACTCGTTTTTATTTATTGTTATATCCTGCGGTACGTTCAATTATTTAAGAGTTTTTTTCGGGTGAATAACAAAAAAAATTATAAAGTTAGAAAAAATGGGATATGTGGTAATTTTTAGACCATTGGATTTAGGGTTTTTTAGTTTTTAAATTATGATTTTTTTGTTGTATTTTTGACAAATTTTCCCATTATTTAAAGAAAGTAAAGCAGGAAAAAATAATAATTTAAATTTGATTGTACAAGTGAAATTTCAAAAATTTGAAGGATTTGATTAAGGGGTTAATTTGCTCAATAACCAAAAAGAAAATAATTAGAGAACTAACTAAAATAGGAGTATGTGGCATATTTATATATACTAGATTTAGATTAATCGGTTATGTTATTAGTTATAATTTTTTTTTGGATTATTCCGCCCAATTTCCCTTGATTAAACTTGTTTTTGGTTTTTTTTTTAAAAAATTTATTTTGTTTTGCAAATGAGACATCAGTTGTAACATTACTTATTGTAAAACTTTTTTCATGGGCTTCTTTGATTGAGCACAAAGAACCAATCCCAAAATATATATATTGTCTTTTCAACCTCAATGGTTCGTATAACATTTTGGGAGCTGGATGTGGAGTAGACATTCTTCTATGTGCTTTGGCCAAAGAGTCGAGGGACGATTTATTCTCCGGATACCTTTTCTCCGCTACCTCGTGGCAGCAACTTTTACTTTGGCTTCCAAATGATTCAAACAACAAAACTAATCCCTTGGATCTCTTTCAAGTTTGACATTCAAACAACAAAACAACAAATGGGATTTTATTTAGCAAAAAAAAAACAAAAACAAATGGGATTTGAAGCGAGAGAAGCCGGCGTTTTTATCAGGAGATTACCTTACCTCCTCTGCGAGTATTGATCAAGATAATTTCTTGTGGTAAAACAAAGCACAAGTACCACTTGGATCAAACAGTGGCTCCTCTCTTCTCCTTTGCTGGTCATCGTGTTAAGATCCCCATTTGAGTATCTTATTAGGGTGTATGGTTTGCTGTTTATTGAAAGTAGGTTGGTTTAAAAGTAGTCCCCCTTTGATC